TCGAGAGGTAGGGGCGTGACGACGGTGTAAATTGGCAACATGTAGCGTTGGTTTCGCTCAGACTTATACGTCAACTACATAAGATATATATATATAAGATATATAAGCAATAATAATATTAAATACTGAACACGCAGATTAGCAATTTTATCGGCAATTCAAATTGATGTCTTCCATAGAAAAACATACTTTTCATAATGACAGGAAAAGAATGATAAAAAAAAAACGTTTGGAGGAATTTGCATATTAAACACATTTTGCCATTTTAACTATTTTCCAAACACCTACTTGTTGGCAAGCGAGAGGGATGCCCAATTGACATGTTTTACTGAATAGTATTAATACTAATCGGTTGTCATAGCTACTGTGCTGAGTGATTATATTTGGACACGGTATGTGCTGCCGCGGATGCAACGAATGTAAATGTATCGCTTCATTTACACAGAATTCAAGTAACGCCAAAATGTATCATTTAGAAAATACGTAACTTCCGGCGGCGTCGTTTTTTTAAACGCATTTGTGCAAGGCGATATATGAATGTGATAAGAGTTATTCTCTAGCGTCAACTCTTTTCAATTACATGCGCACTTGTCATCCGTCGTCAAATGCCATGCTTTATTGAAAATGCCTAATTTTCTTATTTTTTTGCGAGACTTCAGCGTCAAGTTATATTCAAGACTGATCACATTAATAACGTTTCGTCATTGAAAAAAGGATTACATTTTTTTAAATAAAAGATGCACCTGACAAGAGAATACTTGAGAGGAAATTGATTCGTTTCCTTGAGTAATTCCATACTTGATACTGGCAAAGTATCACGTGACATCGGCCTGTGGTATTTGACACCAAATTCCATACACATCAATTAGAGCCTAATATCAACATATTAAATAGTTTACTTCCGTGTTTATGCGCGACAAATTCAGTGTATGTTCATTGTTAATCAACAAAATATTCTATTAGTTGTTTTTGGCGGTTACAATGTAGCGTATTATATGCTACAATGTTCAATATCAAAATGTTTAAATATTTGCGGTAATATAAAATGTTCGAATATCTTCCTGTCAATTAGTGGATTGTTCGATATCAGAATGTACGTAAAATTTAAATTTAATATATTCAATATTAAAATATTATTAAGGGGTGAAATCTTGAATATTCACTATCGACATGTGTATTAGTAGCTGATTTCTGGTCTGTTCGATATAACTTGTTATATAGGCCGCAATCTAGACTGTTCAATATCAACTTATGTATAAGTAGCTGCAATATGAGCTGTTCAATAAAAACTTGCTATACTGACTGCTTTGTCAAATGTTCAATATATATAATACTTTGTTTAGTGCATTGGCAAACATGTGAGTAATTTGAAAGCAACTAACATTAAAATTAGAAGTCAATAGTAGCTTTCAAAAAGCTAATAACTTTAAACATTGTCAACAGGGTTATTGTATGTTGTCCGTGCAGGAGAACAAATTTTATTCGATCTTTATGTGTGAAATTGTGTAGCACAATAATGAGTGAGAATCGATTTCAATTCGGGCATCACACACATGGTATTCTTGTGATCTATATATGTTTATATCAAATATGTTGCAACATGCAGGTTACACTAAATGTACCAATTATTCTTATTAATATTCATTTCTTAAGTAGAACAAGTTTTAAATGTTCAGAATCTTTCTATTTTACCCTTATGTTGATTGCAGTGCTATGCTATGCCCGGATGCTATGATCATTTTTGACCTTGTAGTAGTGGATAAAATCTTTGGGTGTAATAACGCAAATGTTTAACGCTGATTTATGCAGAGGTTACATAATAATATATTCAATAACAATATATACGTGTTGAATCAATACGTGTTGGCTACACTGGTATGTTCAGTATCACCACTGGTGTCTACAGTGTGGCGACTACAATCAGTTATATTTTAATATTTAACTTCATGCGGCGTCGTAATTGGTCAAGTCCTCTATGCCCGTAAAAGGTCAGAGGTCAGAAACGAGTGAGAACTTACGCTGCCCTTTATGCATGTACATCAGAACAATGTTCGTTAAAGAAGCTTGTGTTATCATTATTTGTTGCAAAAGAATGCATTTTTACTGCTCTATTAAAAATTAGAAGCAGACAAGATATTTTTAGAGGTACATTTTCACTGTTTTCAGTGGTGGGCAAGGTTTTAATGATTGTGCTATATTCTAATGCAACCAACTATTCACCGCGGCATATAACAAGTATAAAAGGTACTGAGGCTAGTAATATCTTTCAAATTATCGGCAACATTTTACAGACGAAATTTTCGAGTTTGTACATAAGAATAGGTAGATTGTATACCGGCACAACTGTTAATTCTGTTTTACTGTTGACAAAAAATCACTAGATTCTCCCAATCGATGAACAACGTGTGACTAGATTTAAATCTAAGGTGTTATAGTTATAACGAGTATGCGGAAAGTATGTCAATACAAATAGAGTATTGATTTGTAATAAGCAGAATATCGAACGAATATCACATGTACCAATATCGTTTCGGATTATAATCGTATGTCGAGCAAAGGTCGTGTATTCAGTCATTAGATGTCACCTACCCTAATTATGATAATTACACTATAATTAGCGTTTTTATAATTTTATTTTTCATTACATCTGTGATTATTTTCGGATATTATGTGTGTCGAACAAAGAAACTTGCGCGGGTTCGTACAAATTTCGCTGTTCATATATAAGAAACAACATTCATGTTTTGGTAGTGAAGCAAAGTTGCTTGCAATTCACTTGGGTGATAATATTATATTGAACTTTGCTAAGATATGCATCACTTTGTCGTTAGCCGTAGACTAGCGAGAACACGTAATAGTCATTATATTACTATAATAATCGATTATAAGCGTTTCTAGACAACTGATGAATACGTTAAAATCAGAATCATTGAAAATGTCAATTACTTGAAATATGACTAGTATTCGCATCGACGAGAACACTCACAATATATTTTCTAACTGTAACAGGTGCGTTGAATGAGAACCAGAACATTTAGTGTTTTGAACTAAGGTTATTTCTTTTATTGCGAATATTTTGAATCTTTATTGCGAAGGGGCGTTGTTATCGT